CGCCCACGTCATACTGGGGCTGCGGTGGGACTTCCTCTCCTTCAGCCCTCAGAGATAGAGGTGTGCTGCTGGGCAGGGGCAGTACTGGGAGCCCTGGGTCTCTGAGTTGCTGTTGACTTCTGCTCTTGTGATGGTTTGTGTTTTTCACTGTCGGAAAGGCACATTGCAGGCAGAGTGCTCCTTTCAGGTGCGGCTGGATGGCTGGGAGGAAAAAATAGCTCCAGCCTGGGAGAGCTGCGGCGTAGAAGTTCCTCCTGTAAAGGAACGCTATCAGCTCACTGGAATATTGATTGCATTTGTAGGCCAGCAGTTTTCCGTACTGTTTGAAACTGGTGCCAGGAAGTATGGCCAGAACAGTGACTTGGGTTGGTACCGCCAGAGGAGGAGTGTGTACTTTAGGAGAACTGGGAAACTTAGATTTTATTTTATGCAAGAACTGCATATTCTAAAATCATGCCATTGTAACCTTCTGCGCTTCACACCCTTTTTACCTCATCAAGTTTTTTAGTAGGACTTTTGGAAAGGCTATTTTCTGAAGTGACAGCTTTAGTTCAGTGTAACATGCGCAGCAACTGAGATCATCTCTTCCTGAAGCTGCCCCAACCTTTCAGTCTATATTCAGTAGCAAAGATTGAGTTTCCCATGTGCAGCGACCAGATTGAACTGCTCTCCAGCTCCATCTGCAGGCTTGTGTTGTCCACAGGGTCCTATCAACAGAACTTGCACTGTAAAAAGATGGATGAGTGGGAAAGAGGTCATGGTGGCTCTTGCCTTTAAAGATGAGGGACCTTCAGGAGTGGATTAGGTCAAAGCAGTGCTTGTTAAGCTGTTTCCAACAAGGTCCCCTGAAATCTAGTATCACCTCTACTCTGGATGTTACTGGAGACAGGTAGCATTTTTTGCACGTGTGCAAGCCAGGCACACTTGGCATCTGGTTTTTGGGTGGTCAAGTGTGGGTGACTGGAGCAGATTGTGAAGCACTTTTACTGAAAATGTGCCTGAAGTGAGAGCTGAAACTAAAATGCAAGGACTAGATCATGTCAGATCACTGATAATGTGCTGATACTGACCAAGGTGTAGGTATTAATTGTGATTGTTGAGCCTGCTTACTTACTGGGCAGTATCAGGAAGGTTTGTGAAGCTTTTAGAGGAACTAACCAGGGGGAGAAGGCAGTGTAGAGAGCTGTGACTTCTTTTATTTTATTATTATGATTATTTAAAAAAAAATATTGACTGTGTTCAAGCTGGTGCTTCATTAGAAATGCTGGATTTTGCTGCTTCATAAAATAGTGCCACTAGAGCAGTGTGGTTGGGGTATGGTCCAGTGACACAGAAAGAGAGCATCGCAGCATAAGCAGAAGGTGCTGCACGTACTAGAAGCAGGAGGGCAGAGGGAGTCCAGCAGCGTCAACTTGCTCTGCCAAAGGTGTATCTACAGGAAGAAGAACTGAGAGCAGGAAAATATTTTAACACTGAATTTTTACAGTGCCAGTATATGCAGCACGTGGAAAAATAACTTCTAATGAGATTAATTTCCTAATATGATACTCAGTTACTATATAAAGTTTAGGAGAAATAAATTTCTTAATTCCTATTAAAATTAGCTTATTGGATTGTAAGTTCACAGGGACAGGTTTTCACAACACTTCACACATCAGCTGTACTAGTGATCAGGATTTCACATGCTACTGCAATAGAAATAATAGGATTTTTCTTCCTAGAAAATACAAGATTTTGTGTGTTTTATGTGCATGACATACTTTTTTCCCTCCCCTTCGTTCTTGATTTCTTGCAAAGTAGTAAAATCTTTGCCGTTATAGTCTTGACCACAATAACTACAGATTTTCCTTAGTGAATGTGTCCATGAAACGCTCGGAGTTAGCTGTACGTGGAGTTTTGAGACACAGGAGCCAAGTGGATGTGACTGTGGCTGGTTATGCAGAAAATCTGGTGGAAGTAGATTGCTTGTTTCAGGTTTCCCGAGATTGGCTGATCAGGTGTTATCATTTTATATCACTCAGTGCCTCAGCAATTTATTTTGTAATATAGTACACAGAACAGAGTGAATTGCAGTTAGTGTTTTTGGATGTTGAATGTGATATGGATAATAGAAAAAAGCCAAGAACTCTGTATGCTCATAGAAGACCTACTGTCTCTGATTTCCGTGCTCTGTGTCTCTTCTTTTGCTGATCATATCAGAGCCTCTTTTCAAATGCAGATACTTAATAAAAAGGCAGATTATCCGTATGGAAACACAATGTATTCACATCCAGGAAAATATTGCAGTGATGGAGTCTGTGTAGGAAATAGTATTAAAAACTCATTTTTTTCTAATGACTGTTTTGCAACTTGTTTGATTATGGACTGAGTAATAGATGTCAAGATTTTAGGCAATATTAAGGTAAACATGAATGATTTTGTTACTTAAGATAATTGGACTATCTCCAAGTAATGAGCAACAAGATGAAGGGAAAGTTTCAGAATGAAATTATTTGGATTTAGACAAGATGTAGTAATGCATCATGTGTTTTTTGTACCAAGTTTGTGTTGAAATTGTTGACCCTTGGGTAATGTAAATGGACATTCATTGTATTACATATGATGTGTAGATATCTGGAACTTACAGTTCATACTTAGGTTTATAGGGTTCCTGATGTTTGTTCTGTTGAGAAATAGATTATTTGTGTAATGGAGGCAGATATAATCATGCTCAGCTTTTCCTTTGAGCCAGTGGAATGCAAGCTGGTGTCCTGCATGGTGTAGGCAGAGGAGGTTGTTGCAGAGCAGTTTAAACAGGTCTAAATCGTGGCTGTTCATCCTTTGTTTCCGCGTGCCAGCACTCTGCCTCTGTGGTATTCCAGTTTAGGAAGTGGATCCAGGAAAGAAAAATGGGAGGAGGAAGGGAAAGGATTAGTTTTTGGGTGTTTCCTTCTGCCTGTGCTGGCCTGCTGCCTGGCCGCATGAGCGCCCGTGCAAGCACAAAGGAGGGGCATTGCTCTTTGGCTACGAGTGGGCTGGGATCTTGGCAGCTTGTGTTCATGTTGGCCTAAGCACCCATCATTAATGTAACACCAGGATCTGGCTACCTGCAGGCTCGGGGCTGTAATAATGTGATTTTTAGAGCTTTTGATTGGTGCAAATCATGAGCAGAACAAAGCTGTGCAAGGTAGAGATGAACAGAAATCAAAGTAGAAACACGCTGATTCTTTTCTTCTAATTTAATTTTAGGTAAGCTTGGTCTGTTTTGCTGTCTTTTATTGTCTGAACCACTGAAAATCAGACAACAGTAGAAATCCTGTGTGGTGAAGGCAACAGAGGAGTTGATTTTGGAACAGCATGCATGAATTTTAACGATTTGAGGACAATGAACCCTTGCAATTTGACTTGTTTACTCTGTTCCGAAATGCCTGTGAAGACGTAAGATTGTTAGTAGCTCTAAGTAAAGCCACATTTAGAAAGTGATAGATGATGTTATCAAGATCAGTTGGATTCCTTCAATTTTAATCCTCTGAGATATGAGCTGATGAGTTAGCATTTCTTCAGAGCTCTTGGACAACTCTACGATGGCTTGATATGAGAAGTCATAATCCCAGCGCTGAATGTGCTGGATTAGTGTTTCTCTGCCATTGAGATGCACAAACATCAGAGAGGAGATGCTGTGCAGGACCTAAACTCCTCAGCTAATAAACTGTGCCAGACGTTTCTTTTCTTTTAATTTTTTTTTTTTTTTTCAGGTTGGGTTTGTGCCAGCTCTGCTGGTGACGGGGAGAAGGGAGTGATGGCAGATAGACAGTAGGAAGGGGCAAAAAAAAAGAAAAGCAATAGGGATGGGAAAAGACGCAAGAATGCAGAAATAAAGGTCTGAAGAGAAGGACTTGATGGAAGGAGGACTCAGCTGAGAAGTTTTCAAACCACCGCTTTAGATGTCATGACACTGGATTCAAAGACATTTATGTTCACGTAACTTTTCTTGTAGGCATGAAAGGTGTCTCTGTGTAAGTAATTGTCTCATGGACTGCTAGGGAATATATCATTCCGGTTAAAAGATTACTGACATAATGAAGGCTTTTGAGCATTTTCCAGTGTGCAATATGCGTGGTTATTTTGGTTACTTTTTGGGCAGAAGATTATGGAAGCTAAGTTTTCAGTAAAACTCTAGTTATGCTTCTGTTTCAGTTCTTAAATTTTCCTCTATCAAATTTTACTGAAATAAAACTTACTGAATCTTTGCATACTGTAAGCTATATGCTTGTACCATTTTATTAGAATCGGGACAAATCACAAATCTGCTGTTCAAGTGGTATGGATTTTATTGCAGAAGCACTACAGAAGCTTTCCTAGAAAGCACTACATTGTCTCATTTGTTAAAGGTGGTGGCTCCAGGAATTCAGTTTTTCTGTCATTCTGTTGTTCTGGGCTTTGATTGGACTGTGGAATTAAGACTTGGCTCTACCAGTTTGTACCTGTGATCTTTCATTTGCCCACATAAAATACCTTTTGTGGCCTTTTAGAGCAGACTTCCTGTGTGAAAGAATAAATGCATTATTTGACTCCGAGAAAGCAGGGCTGCAGTCTGAGGGATCTGGAAAGAAGACATGGTGCTGAATACTGCAGTCCCAGAGTTGTTGCTTCAGCTTGTAATGGAGAATATTTAGAGAGGAGTTTGTTTTTAGGAATAGAGTATGTAAAAGTGAATCTGTGAATCAGTAATGCTTTTATAAAGTTTAAAAGGCTGGGGAGTTCGTGCATTTGGTTTGGGGAGACCATTTTAAAGCACCAATGTAGTTTCCTAAGTTGAAAGATAGGGAACAAAAAAGGAAGGTGCTATAATGTTAGAAAAGGGGATGGTAACAGCACTTAGATCTAGCCTGCTGTTCTCAAGGATGATGAACAAGATTGAAAAAAGGAGGTGGGGGGCATTTAAAGGGGAATGGAATAATTGCAGCTTTTAATGTGGAAACGTGCTCCCTTTTTTCTTAAAACTATGTCTTTACTTCACAGCAAGCAAGGGCAGAACAGGAAGAGGAATTCATCAGTAATACTCTATTTAAGAAGATTCAAGCTCTGCAGAAAGAAAAAGAAACACTTGCAGTAAACTATGAAAAAGAAGAGGAATTTCTCACTAATGAGCTCTCAAGAAAACTGATGCAGGTAATTGGTGCCTTTACTGATGTTTCTTCTAGGAGCCTCAGGACCAGCTGGTGGGTGAACTTTTTTGTTAGTGTGACTGCAATCACAGGGATGTGGTCAGGTTGTAGCTGTTATACATTTGACACTTGATAAAAGCGAAGTACAAGTACTGGAGTAAGTAGTTTTTAATATGTTGCTTTAAAGTTTGCGAGCTGTTATACATTTGACACTTGATAAAAGCAAAGTACAAGTACTGGAGTGAGTAAGTGGTTTTTAATATGTTGCTTTAAAGTTTGGATCTACAAAGTCATAGTCACTTCAGAACCTGAAAGTTTGGATAGGGGTGCAAAGAAATGGATGTAGCTTAAAGTAAATGTTAACTGTCTTACAGAAGAGAGTTATCGATTAATTTAAAATGTTAGTGAAACAGACACTTTTTTTCTGGAGTATTTCATATGTAACAGGAGTCCTGAAATATTAGCTTTATATACAAGAATATGCAGCAATGTTTGAAGGAGACTTCATCTGCAAGTTTACAATTGCTTCTTTTGGATTAAAACACATCAGTCGGGTGCTAAAAGTAAAAAAAAAAAAAAGATGCTGGGACAATTTATGGCAGAGAAACTTTCTTTCATTACCCAAGTTGCTAATTTTTGAAATTTTGAAAAACTGGTAAGTTTTAAAGAACCTAGTTTGTATGTTCTAAGCATTTCTTATGTTCTGCAGGTGGAGACTTAAGGCGTGTTTAGCCCTGCAGTTAAGAAACAAACTGTTTGGAAAGAACATTACAATCATAGAATCATAGAATAGTTTCAGTTGGAAGGGACCTTTTAAAGGTCATCTGGTCCAACTTCCCCTGTGACAAGCAGGGACACCTTTAACTAGATCAGGTTGTTCAGAGCCCCGTCCAACCTCACCTTGAATGTTTCCAGGGATGGGGCATCTACCACCTCTCTGGGCAATGTGTTCCAATGTTTCACTACCCTCATTGTAAAAAATTTCTTCCTTATATGTAGACTAAATCTATGCTCTTTCTGTTTAAAACCATTACCCCTCATTCTATTGCTACTCTCCCTGATAAAGAGTCCCTCCCCATCTTTCTTATAGGCCCTTTTAAGTACTGGAAGGCTGCTTTAAGGTCTGCCAGGAGCCTTCTCTTCTCCAGAATGAACAACCCCAACTCTCTCAGCCTGTCTTCGTGGGAGAGGTGCTCCAGCCCTTTGTCTTTGTGGCCCTCCTCTGGACCTGCTCCAACAGGTCCATGTCTTTCCTGTGCTGAAGGCCCCAGAGCTGGATGCGGTTCTGGAGGTGGGGATCTCACAAGAACAAAGTACAGGGGCAGAATCACCTCCCTTGACCTGCTGGCCGCGCTGCTTTTGATGCAGCCCAGGATGCAGTTAGCTTTTGGGGCTGTTAGCGCACGTTGTTAGTTCATGTGTGATTAGCTGTAATCATGAAATGGTTTGGGTTGGAAAGGACCTTAAAGATCATCTAGTTCCAACCCCCCTGCCATGGGCAGGGACACCTCCCACTAGGCCAGGTTGCTGAAATCCCATCTGACACTTTTGTTATTGAAAACTGGGACTTCCATGACTTCTTCTATTTGATGCCTATTATCACATGGTAAGTTAAGTATCAAGATAAAACACTCTCGATCTGCTGTTTCCCCTTGCTATTCTTGAGAACAGAGAATGTTTCTGAATAAGATGTGTGTTTGCTTTCAAAGTCATACATTTTAATGAAAAATAAGCAGATGGCAGTAAAGTAGGAGCACCGAGTGTTCTTTTCTAACTGAAGATGTAAATATCACTATAGAAAAAGCTTTTCACTGAAGTCTCTTTCAGTGAATGGAGAAATGGTATGTCGAGCAGTGCTGTTTAATCGACAGAGGTTTGTAGAAATCAGCTACAGAACCAGGTTACCTGGACTGCACTATACATTGTGTAGACCAAAGTAAAGGTAAACATTAAAAGTAAAAGCATAAATTACACTTGATTTGGCTGAAGGGTTTTGAACTCATATAACGAGTTCACCTTGTAGAAAAATTTGTCTTGCACAAGTTCTGCAGCAACTAAATCACTGTGTCTGTTGTTGTGGTTTAACCCCAGCCAGCAGTTAGGACCGTGCAGCCCCTTTCCCCCTGCTGCTGAAGGGGAGGGAAAAGAAGGAGAAAAGGATGGGAAACTAGAGGGTGGAGGGAGGGAATGGCAAAAGGAAAATAATTTTCTATCTCTAATCATAGATTTAGTAAGTTGATATTAGAGTATTGGTGAGTTGCAGGCAATTTTCTGGAGTAAGAAAGATCTGCAAATAACATTGACATTGGTTTTTGCTTTCTGAGAGCATACCTGTTGTTTGGAAATTGGGATTCTTCCATTATGAATCCTGGGAGTTATACCCATGTAGACTGCCAGATAAAAAATTCTGAGAAGAGAAACTCCTCATATTACAGATATACTCGTTTTGTGGAAAAGAGGGCATTATTAGCACACATCACGTGGTCAACCTAGTATTTATTAAAATATGTTTTCTAGTTTAGGATAGTCTTCCCGTTACACAGGTGTGGTGCTAAATTCCTGACTAACACTTTTCAGACACAGAAAGTTAAAGTAATTACAATTTACTTTTTTTAATTTCCTGAGATTTGTAAGTGCCAATACTTAACATCACATACTAGAATGTATAAGTTCCATCTTTATTAGAGGATGCAAGGCTGATGAGACAGCTATAAGGCTAATAATGAATTGATAAATGCCCACTTGCATTTTTGGTATCTTTGCTGTGGAGAGAATTCTAGCTAAATTAGGTGCAGACTCTGGATGATGACTTAACCAGAAGTACAGTAGTCTCCGGTGTGGAAGTGTGGTCAGTAATTGGTTGCTCCACTGTTCTCTGCTATTTGGGGTTAAACCCTTAATCTCTGTGTTTGGTGGCAACATTGGTCTGACCTAGAACTAGACTTTCAAAATTCATGCTGTCAGACATTGTGCATCAAATGGCTTCCTGCTTTTTGGATGACTAAAAGGAAAAAAAATGCATATGAATCTGTTTTGTCTAAGACTTTGCTTTTTGGAACAGAGGGAGCAGTGTACTTCTGGTAAAATGCGTGTGATTTGTACACTCTTAATTTTTCAGGTATTTACTAGTCTGTGGCTGTGTCAAAATTACTACCATATTATTCAGTTGAAAGCCAGCTAGCAGAGGGACTTTTTTCATAGTGCTTGTGTGCTTTTTGCTTTGTCAAACCTTTGTTTGTCACAGTTACAGGGGCTTATGCATCGCATTCAGAGTGGCATCTGGAATGAGCTTCCAGAATGTTAAAACGTTTTAAATGTGAAAGCTGTCTGCCAGAGCACGAGCTGCAGCGCTTCTCGCTAACAGCCTAACAAGAATTTCCTAGTTCAGCATGATGTGCATTACTATTCTAAACCAGAATTACATTAGAGTTTTCAGTATTGTAAGAAATTAATTTTAAAACATTTTACTGTGTTTATACACAGATACACATAACATACACATTCTTGGTGAAGTTTTTACAAGCTTTTTATACATTCACTATATTTTCCAATGTACTTACTCTAATTATGTTTTTGTCTGCCTGAGTGTCTGGAAAGTTTGGAACAATGTTTTTATAGAGTCCTCGATCCCTAGTCATTATAGAACAGTAGTAATATTTTGCAGAGTATCATTAGATGTGTTTTGATGCAGGATCTGTTCTTGCAGCTGTGGAGATGGAGTTGTTGAGTTATTGTTTTGAAATTTAAAGTAGTAAAAATTTGTGAAACAAGGCTGCTTTTGTGAAACAAGGCTGCTCAAAAGAGTAATTATTTTTTAATATTGTTTGAACTTTAAAAGTCAGTTATTCTTTAAATTGTGCAACAGTCCTTTTCAAAATCAAATGCAGATTTATTTTTAATACCCTTATATTTTTGGAAGTGCAAATTGGTCCAAGTATCTGTCCTTGAAAGTAAAATGTTACGACATACTAAGATAATAGCATAATGTGTAGTCAGGCAGATTAAGTAATTGGGAGGCTATACAGAACTGTTTCTCATGCAAATCTGATTCTTGACAATTCTTTCAAAAATTATAAGTCTGTAAACATAAGCTATTACACTTCCTGCTCTCCAAAATCTATGCGTCAGCTCAAGGATGCAAATATGATTGTGGGGAATAAACAGAGTCAGCTCATCTATCTTTTAATTGATGAACATCTGGACATAAAGAGGAGGCAAACTGCTGATACAAATTTGTTAATAAATAGGACTTTCAGGATGCACCAAAGAAGGAATTTGGACAACTTTCGAGGGCCGGAGGACTAAAAATAGACTGTTCAGTACCAGGTGCAAGGTCATAGTTTGGGGGATAAATGAGGGTTGGTTTTTTAAGGCGGAACTTCATCAATTAGCTCCATTATTTCATAGAAGCACTTTCTGCTGTCCCAGAATAAGCCAGTGGAGTAAGGAGGTAAGGTCAGTGCGATCCTACATTGTATCAGGAATCTTATCTTGCAGAGAGAGAAGGATATTACTGGAGTTATATAGGCCTTACCTGAACTGACACACTCTTTCTGCTGCTGAGCTTTGTATATTTGATAGCACTGTTCTCACTTCAAAATATTTGTAGTCTTTCTTGCACCAAACCCATCTCCGATCTCATGTAGCTGAAAATTCCCCCAGCATTTCTCCTACAGTTTTCATATGCAATTCAAGGTCTATAAGACATCATCATCAAGGTGACATGTTCTAATACATTTTTTCTTTCTCTTTAGCTGTCAGTCTTAGGTGTATCTGTAAACAGTTGCTGCTATAATTGCATATAATTAAAACTAGTTTGAAAATACTCTCTCACTTTACTAAGTAAAATAAACACTATCCACCAGTGTTTTACCAATGGATAATTTCTCATTGTTAGCAATTCTGTTTTTCAGCGTTAGGGTTTCAGCATTAACTGGTTTTTGTTTGGTTTAGTTTGTTGCTGTGATCAAAGACAATAAAAGGGCAAAACTATTTTACCCAATTGTCAGTGACAGACACCATTAATATGTATTTTGGGGTGTGTTATTAGTGTTTTTCTCCCACTTTGAATAATGAAGCTGAAAGGATGAAGGGGAGTAGCACAATAAAGTATGTTCATCAGGATGTCTGAGAGGGCTTTCATTTTGTAATCCCTTTTAGCACTTGTGGAGAAAAAGTTTGCGGGTTTCTTTTTATTCCCAGTCACTTTGATATCTGCTGTATTTATGTTAAAATCAGAATGGAAGATATTCCTGTGATAAAATCTCTCCTGGCTTTCTGATCAGCTGGAAGGGTCCTTTGGCTGCGGTATGTTCACGCTCCCTGGGTAGGGTCTGGTAGATCCTACACAGCAGTTACAGATCTAACGAGTAAGCCTCATCAGTTCCCCTGTGATGGAAATTCCAGCAAGCTTTAAAAGGAATGATTTGACAAGCAAGGTGGGGCTGTTGCAGCTCAATTTGCTTTAAATAATACAGTCGTTGTATCTGCATGAAGCACACAAGAGCAAGAAACAGTGTTTGTTGTCAAGTTGGTTTGAGGTGCTTTTGTACAAGTGTATGGTCTGCCTGACTCCCTGGGCTGGCTGCAGCCGCCAGCAGTCCCCAGCCACACGCTCTCTGTTAGCAGCATCTGGCTTTAGGCTGAGTAAGAGGTTCTGGCTATGTGCCTTTTTGCACAGTTTAATTTGCTAACTCAATAGAAGCTGATTACAGCAACTGGCTTTGTTCTTAGTTTTTAGTTAGGTGAAAAAAGGCATCTAGCTTTTTCAATGGAGCAAAATGAAGGTTGATGTGCCTTGAGCTAGGTGGTAATCTGTGTGCTGTCTGCTCCTTGAGCTCTTTGGCTGTCTTCAGTCTTAAACTGGAGCTGCTCCATAGGGGTGGGGAAGGACAGGAGAGGGGCTTACAGAGTTGTAAGAATAAATAACGTCCCTTTTCGTATTAAACATGTTTTTTTGCAACCAACCTTAACTCCGGTACTGAAGTAAGAAACTTCGTATTTTTGATTATCGAACAACACAAATAGTATTTTGATTTAAAAGTGCGAATATAAATTTTTCTTCTTATGAAAATCTCACTTAGCAACCCTGAGAAGAAATGAAATGGCTTTATTTCCAACTAGACAGTTTTAACAAAATTTCCTAACCATTTGGTCTAGAGCTGCCATGAGTCTCAGTGATTAGCATGTAGGAGTCTAGGTGGCTTCCTCAAGTGCATGGGAATTTCCATGAGCATCAGGGGTTTTAGAAGATATGCTGTAATTTACTAAGTGAGAGGAATAAATCTGATTTAGTTTTTAATTACTATACTGTTGTTTATTTTAATTTGTGAAAAATAAAATCTCAATAAGCCCTGAAAACACAGTTAAATGGCAAACTTCTCCTATGTGTGTATTGCCAAGCAGTTATTGCCTGCCTCATGCTCTCTTCACACAAGCCCTTCTGCTCTGAACTCTCTGCCAGGCTGCATTTCACAGACCATTTTGTCTCTAAGTAGCAGCAAAAGGAACCAAATTAATGAATTAGCAATTTTAGCTTGTTTATTTCTTCACTGTGTATATTTCTTCATTGTGAATATCCAGCAATCTGGACTTGTGTCCATGACTGTGAGGTGTGTCTCTATTTCCTCAAATTTTCCTCACATGTTTTAACACTATGATCTTATGTATTGTTATGTGATAGCCAGAAGAACCAGAGTAGAAAATAAACAGGTGGAAAAAAGTGCCTGTCATTTTCAGTGGATGGCCAGAGCACGGTGTAATTACACCATTGTCTTTTGGTGACATTTGCTTTTCCCTAAGTCAAATTCATGTGTTTGGTGTCAGTCGCACTCTTTTATCCACAGGAAGACTTGGATCCCTGTCTCAGAGCAATTCCGTAGCGATTTTGACTTTAATGTTAAAAGTGACTCTACTCCAAGCCATGATTTATATTAAAATGTGCGTGTGTGGGGGGGGGTTGTTTCCATCTGCTTGAGAGCTTTGAGAGTACTGATGTTTTTCATTGGAAATACTAACTGGAAAAAAAATTTCCCTTAAGTGGTAGGAAAATTTTAGTTTTAGGAAAATTAGTTTGAAATAACCAGTGTTTTTATGTCATCAAAACCTTTTTATTCCTGATAGCATAGGAATAGAAATTAGATTTTTTTTTTTTTTTTTTACTATCTTGTTGCACATCAATTTCAGTAATATAACTTCAGTCACAATTTTAATCTTTCAGCTGCCTGGGAGAAGGAAGTGCTAAGACCATCATTTTATGCTTTGGGTGCTCTTGAGATGATGCATTTAGATTAAAATTAATGCTTTTGTGAGCTTTATGATAGATTTCTGACTTCTGAAATGTCTGTAATTATTTTATATGCTATATATAATGTATCTATTTTGATTTGACTTTATTAAATATTTGGAAATGTATTTTACTTCCATCTGGTTTGCAAATGGAACACAGTTTAAAATGTTGCTTTTTGCAGGGCTGTTGGGTGGGTTGTGCCCAGTAGAGAATTTAGCGTGCAGTAAGAATAAAAGTGTAAATAAAAGTATAAAAGGTGTGTAATGTTTCATGCTTTTATTTGTGTGTTTAAAATACTTCTGTGTCTTTTAAATTTCTAGCTGCAGCATGAGAAGGCTGAACTGGAGCAGCATTTAGAGCAGGAACAGGAATTTCAAGTGAACAAACTAATGAAGAAGATTAAAAAACTGGAAAATGATACAATATCGAAGCAGCTCACCCTGGAGCAGGTAACACTTTTACTTTCAGAATGATATGACTGTAAAACAAGAAATTCTGAAAAAAAAAAAACAAACTTATTTTGTATTAGATTTAACTTAATTTTTTAAGTATGTAAGAAACTGGGCAATATCAAGAATATAGATAAGCCAGTTTGACTTTCAAAGCAATACATCATTAACATAGTGTATTATGAGAAACTTTGATTTATTTTTTTTCCATGGCCTTTATAACTTTTATTAGCTTTACTATAGGCCTTCATGTCTGCTGGACAGCTGTGAGTTTTGCAAACAGAACTTCTTTGTGAGCAATGCTTCTTGTTGCTGTTCATCAGCCACGTGCTGCTAGTGGGAAAGACTGTCACTTCTGAGAGCAGTTAAGCACAACAGTAAACAATATATATGTGGTCCAGTTGTGCTCCAGGACACCCTTTTTGTGGCAGCTTGATAGCACAAGACTCAGAACTGTGAGGTGTCAGGTCTGTGTGTATTTAAAACGATTTGAGATTCAACCACATCCAACTCCTTTTCTCCCTAGACAGTTACAAAGATTGCAGAGATAAAACACCACTTGTTTTGGTCATGTTACCACCGCTCTTAACATTGGGACTGCTCTTATGTCTAATTTTAGGCATGTGCATCAAAGCATCTCAGTGATGTTAGTAGGAGTTCCTATTGACTTAAAAGGCAAACTGATGAAACATATAGGCTTGTTAAAGAACTTAAGTTTTTCTGGCTTGTGGATGTCCAAAAATTTGGGTGTTGTAAATATAGTACATTACTTCTGTGAATTTTTTTTCTCTTTTCATCAGATATAGGAATTTTTTGTTCCTGGTAATCTGAATTTCTGCCAGTTTTGTATGACTCTCCTGTTTCTGTTAACATTGTGGATAAATTAATTAATGGCTATCTTAAGGATGAAATGGGTTCTCTTGATTCTTATGCTAGCGTTATTTATGGAGGGATCTGGGGAACAAATTGAAAAATAGAAAGGTAGGAAGACATAGCTGCCAGCAAATCCTTAACCAGAATGAAAGTTAACCTGAGATGGAAATACCGCTCTTAGCCACAAGGTGGTGGTAGCGGCCACTCAATCAAAATGCAAAGTAAGCCTGCATAATAAGCTGGCTGAGTCTGGGAAATGCTAGCACGAGCCACAGCTGAAATCTTAATTTATTTTCATATCATTGTTCTGAGCAGACAGACTTGTGAAATCATAATATTTGAAACTTGTTGCTACATTAGAATATCAGTGATAACTAGTTCAAAAAGCACATATGCTCAAAGGTCTTTCTCTCAAATATCTGACCTTGAAAACTTACTTTGTCCATGAAGGTGTTAAATTTAGCTGTCAGAATTCCATGCGTATTTGTATGTAGTGCAATGTTTACCTTTGTTAATTCTTACAGTAAGATAAAGTAAATCTCAAGTTACTTCAAACTTCACCATGCTTTTTTCTCTTACACAAATGTTAAAAAAAAAAGTTTATTGTGCTAATTAACCAGCTGAATCAACAATCTTTGTGGCATGTGCTGTACCTAGGAAGAAGCAATCAAAAGTTGTGAGCAGAGCAATGTTGTCTTTATTGTACACGTAGGGAATTAAGGAAGAGAGATTGCCACAACGCTTCAACATAACCTTTGGGAGACCTTTTCAACAGAGCTTGGAAGGAGTACTGTGGCAATGCTTTGAACATAATCTGGGGCTGCATTACTAGATCTGTCACTGTAATCAGTGACATATGTTCACTAAACTATTATTTTTAAGATATGGAACACGAATTCTCTATGCTTTGTGTCCTTTCTCCTGTTGCTTTCTCTCATCTGAGCTGCTTGTGCCACAGGTGATTGGTAGGTAGCCCAATTGTAGTAGTGATGGTTGCGCAGAATGTTACTTCTAAATAAAAAATTAAGTTGGATCTTAGGGCAGTACCTTGCACTTGGCCTTGTTGACATTGGGATTGAGTGCACTCTCAACAAGTTTGCTGATGACACCACACTGTGTCGTGCAGTTGACACATTGGAGGGAAGGGATGGCATCCAGGAGGGACCTGGATAGGCTTGAGAGGTGGGCCCAGGCAAACTTCATGCAGTTCAGCCAGGCCAAGTGCAAGGTCCCACGCCCAGGTCAAGGCAATCCCAAGCACACAAACAGGCTTATGCACCAAGAACTGTAACCCCTTTGTAGAAGGCCACCAAATTTGTCAGACATGATTTGCCTTTAGTGGTCATGTTGGCTTTGCTGTTTCTTCTGAAAAGATATTCTTGGAGATCAGCAAAGAATTAAAGCTACAAAGGGGGAGGGGCAGATGAAAAACAGAGAAGTGAAACTGGGGATAGCAGCCTCAGGCAGAGATCATATTCCACTTTCATTGATTTGGAAGATCTCCAGTTTAGGAGAGAACAGTTGTGCTTTTTAGTAAGTTGGCAAGGAGACTGAAGAAGCGGCAATCCAGAAGTACAGAGACAATGGATATTTTAGCTGCATTTGAAGTTAAAGTCAGTATATGCATGAAAGAGAGAGAGAGAAAAAACACAATTGGATGGTTAGGGAGTTTTAAAGGGATTTTTCTCTTTCTTTGAAGGGAAGATTAAGGTCCAAAAAAGCAAGTAATACTTCCTCGTTTCCCTGTTGTGATGGTAAAAATTAAATGATGTTTGATTGAAATGTAACTGTGAACCCATGTAGATAACACTAGTATTGACAGAGTTGCTCGTTTGGTCTTGAGGTATAATCCCATCCTGTTTATTTAAGTTCAGAATTGTATCATGTTCCTAACAAATGACTAGAGTAGACTAAATTGCAAAGTACACCTGAAACTACCAAATACAAAATAAATGCACCTATTCTCTGAATTTACTGCTCTGGTCAGGATGCTGCAGTTGCTTGTCCTGTAGGTTCAGTTCAAGGTCTTAATCCTCAAAGCTTTAATGTCCTGACACTGGGAGGAACTGGGACAACGCTCAAGATCAGGAAAGAAAGATACTTGTTTCTAATGTGTTTTCATATTTCTGGAAATGTGGAGTTTCAGATCTTTTCTTTGGTGTTTCATCAGAGCATGTCTGTCAGCCTTCAGGCACAACAATACTAGTGATCAATTTCTTCAGGTGTGTTTCTACATTATATCGGCTTTCATTAGCTTATAGGAGAATCAAAAATGTTTGTTCACACAGTAAGTGAATAGAAATAATGTGATTAAGCATTTATTTCTATAAAGTCTTTGCTAAAGTGGAAATTCATTTGTTTCTGCCAGTAAGGGTTGATACAGTAACACTTAAGACACTTCATGTAATTTTTTCTTCACTGTTTTTGTTATGTCACTCCTTTATCTAACACAAGGCAAACATGGCTTCTCTTCCGCTTCTGGCTTGCTTAACTGATTCTTCCACTGAAAAAGTCTAAAATTTTTCAAAAGAATAAATGTTGATGTGATGGACTGTAAACTCAGTTGGAACTTCAGAGATGCATAGAATAGGCTTGTCTTTGAATAGGCTTGTCCTGTCATCAGTGACAGCGTGTCCAGGTTTCAAGCTCCTCCTTAATTGCCAGAGACAACAAGTTCTGTGAGCAAAAATTTCTGTTAAGGAGATGACAACTGTGCAACTCCTGAATCTCTTGATTTTTCACAGTGTCTGTGACTAGTGTGTTGTGACTCGTTTTTGTCTCTTCTTCAACTTCTTGCTGTCATAGAGCATCATGTAAAAGGGTGTTATTATAGTAATGGACTCTCCTAATGACAGTTCCTTGCAAAAAATGTATTTCCATCATTTTTATTGATTGATTTTCCTCTCCAGCTAAGACGTGAGAAGATCGACCTTGAAAATACTTTGGAACAAGAACAAGAAGCGCTAGTGAATCGTCTCTGGAAGAGGATGGATAAGCTTGAAGCAGAAAAACGGTTTGTCTTGTCACTGTGGGAGAGCTATCATTTCATACATAATGTTCTGGATTAACATGTTAATCTCTGTCCCATAAGAGTTTAATCTATGAAAACCTGGAAGTTAAAGAAGTTGCAAAGCTCCTTGTTTATGTGATGCCAGATCCTTGATTGCTTAAAGTAGATGAAACTAAGTTGTACAAGAAATGACCTGGGAAAGCTTGGAGGAATTAGCTGAATTTTTTTAGCTGCTGATAGACTCTTCTTAAAGCTTCTGGCTTGGGCTCAGCTTTATATTCATGGCCCAGAGAACGGAACATGGTATTTCACTGTTAACTGCAAAAATCATCATTTAGAACACTTAATATCTACCATATGCTTATTTAATTATAAGAGAAATTCATTACTCCTGAGTTTGCAGTTATTTGTGGTATTTGAAACCTTGACTATATGGAATACCTGTTTGTTTGGAGATTTAAAAAAACAAAAGGACTATTTTTTGAGACTATTTGACTATGCTACAGAAAATGTCTGTGAAGTCTTCTCTTCTGGTAATAGTGAAATGCAGAAAAGCTTGTGTTTCACCATAGACATACTTTACTCATCTTTTCATGTTGAAATATATGTTCTTCCTCCGAGAACATAAGTGTAAAAACTCATAAGAGATTAAATGAATTTGCTTAGAAATGATTTTATGGAATAAGTAGTGTTTGAGTATAAAACTGAGGTAACTATATGTAGTCCAGAATTTGTTTTTCCTGAACTATAGGCAGAAGTATTTGGGGGTGTCGATGTCTGAATATTTTAGAAAATTCACCTGTACTTGGACAACAAATTTTACCTTTTTTTATTTTGAGTTAAAAAAAAAAAGGCATTGTAAGTCCTTCCAAAATTCTCTCTCCAAAACCGTAAGTTAAAATAAGTTCTGTATACCTGTCAGAATCCTTGCAGTAGCTTTCTGGGGGAGATAAGGGGTTTTCGTTGTCATTTGAATTGAAGGTAAAGTTTAAACTCTTTTTCATACAGAATTTTGCAGGAGAAATTAGACCAGCCAGTATCTGCTCCACCATCACCCAGAGACATATCAATGGAGATAGATTCTCCAGAAAATATGATGAGACATATCAGATTTTTAAAGAATGAAGTGGAGAGGTTAAAGAAACAACTGAGGGCTGCACAGTTACAGCGTGAGTAAACAACTTGTTTTAAATCTTTTTAAGTTTGCGTAATGTAACTTTTTTATATATACTTTCATGATTTTGAATTTTAGGTAGAAGTGAAAAAAAAAATAGGGCAGGTTTGGGTTAAAACATATTCATAATTGCAGAATTATTTCTTAGTGATGCATTTATACTGCAGTTTGGGTTTTTTTAGCTTTACTAGAAGGATAATTGGACGAATCAACAAATGTTTCTTGAATATTTTGGGCCAGAAAAAATGTTTCTTTTTTTTTCTTCTGAGACATAGAAGTATTTCAACATACAGATTTTTCAAAACGTATTTATGGCCTACTTTGTAAGAGTCTTGTTATAAATTAAGAACTACTCAAAAGAATTCTCAGCTAGCAAAATAAAGTTCAGTTTATGTTAGAATTTCACTTGTTAATGATTCCAAATCCTTTTAAATAATTTTTGGTAGCTGTGTTAGCCTAATTTTTCAGGCAGCTATTTAATTTCATAACATAGCAGAACAAGTAATCTTATTTTGTTCTTACCTATGTAAGATTGATTTGAAGGTGGACAGAATAAATAGTTGGGTAGAAATCCTTGTGTTCCTGTTGTGACGAGTATCGTGGTCCCTTGCCCAGAAGCAGAAAGCCTGCTTTTTGCCCTGCCTTTCAAGAGCAGAGGCTGTGGCTCTGAGCACATGGCCTCAGCTGGCAGGAAGGTTGCTTGTGCCTTCCTGTGGTCTTCACAGTGCCAATCCTTCATTCCCTCATGCTACATCTGAAACTTCTGTCCATATATCATCAGTTCTGCCTAGTTCCTGGTCAGTTGCATTATATTTCAATCGACAGGTAAGTAGATACCTAACCATACAGACAGAAAAATTTGGGCAAGTGGGAAACAGGCAATATTCTTCCCCTGTAGCGTGCTGGTCTTGACAGGCTAACGAATGTTTCAAGCCCTGTTTAGAGAAATAGCTTGCCAGAGGCAGCGGCCTTCCTCCAAGACAGAATGATGGGAGGGGATGGGAGGGTGCTCTTTCGCAGAGGCCTTGTGCGCAAGTGTGGGGTATTAATAATTTGTGTCAGTTAAAACAAGATAAGGACTGCTGCTCTTTGTTCTTGCCAGTTCTGCGCTGCAGCCTTCACGTACTGAACTTCAGAACGAGGGCAAGGCCTTAGATTTAAAGTACTCTTTGTACAAGTCTAGCCTAATTAAGTTCATTTCAGGTATTTTTTGTTATTTTTCCATGGTTTGGTTTTGAGTTTTGGGGATTTAGACTAAACATTTAAAAGCATTTAAAGTCAAATTCTCATTGAAAAGAAGATCTGGGTTTAAAAGTACTCTTTCCCTTTGTGAACACTTTAAAGAGAGCTGCAATCTGAATAGCAGTACTGATAAAAATGGTGGGTGTGCTAGCCTGGAAGCAGAAGATGGAACTCAAATGTAGTTTTCAGTTTGTTGTTTGCAATACGTGGTCGTTAGAGAACCTCTAGTATTATTCATAAATATTTAATAAAATCTGTGTGCTGAATTCTGGTATTAGTATTACATTTGGTATTCCTGAAGCACTTACTTCTAGTCTAGGAACTGTTTTGGTATAGCAGCCGTTGTAAATCAGAGATACTGTTACATTTAGAGGTGGTATTTCCACAGAAGTGACATAAATAATGTATCATTGATGGTTTGGGAACAGTCTTCTAAAACAGGAATATTCTTTTGATTGAAAGGTGCTGCATAACAAAGTGATCACAAAGCGTGATGAACCATAATATTTTTTTTAATATCAAGAAATTAACTGTAAACTTGATCAAACATTGTAAAACCTTGCAAAATGTATTGTGTGTCATAAGTCTTCATCATGTGTCCCATTTCATTTAAATAATCTGGCAAAATGCTTTGTAGTTTTCTGTAGTTTGATATTATCACTTTAAATAGCTTGTAATACCAGACCATTTAAGTGATGTTCGCTCAACTTGCTAAGAATTACAAACTCAAATTGCCCTTTGATGAAGAGTAAACCACTTGTTGGCTTTTGGTATCAGTACCTGTTTTGCTGGCCAGTCTCTATGATAAAATGTGTAATTGCAAGAATGCCATAAAATACATCTAAGGTAGCATTTGAATACAAGTTTGAGTGTTTGGGGTTTCAGAATGTTTGTGCTTCTTCCTTTGAAATGGAAATATACCTTTAAAATAATTTCTTCTGTGTGTTGCAAATAAAATCCATGTAAATATGAAATATCATTATTTAATGGAGCAGGATTCATTGTGTTTCTTCTTTATGGTTTTGATTTTATTTTCTTCATTACTTTTTCTTTCTTTTCAAATTTATTTACTTAAATGCTTAAACCTTTTTTTGCTTTTTACCTTTTATTTCCAAAATTGCTGTCAGCCGTAACTTATTTTAGTAGCTACTGTTCTGAATTAGGCTTTGAACTAATGAATGAGAGATGAGAATTTTGAGTGATCCACCCTGAACATTTTGTACACACTCATTCTTGAAGTACTGAAGTAAAATTTGGCATAACATATTTGCTTCTCTGTGAAATTGAATTTTAATCAAATTTTAACAAAATTCTGAATTTCAGATTCAGAGAAGATGGCACAATATTTAGAAGAGGAGCGACATATGAGAGAAGAAAACTTGAGACTTCAAAGAAAATTACAGAGGGAAATGGAACGTAGGGAAGCACTCTGCAGGCAACTGTCAGAAAGTGAATCCAGCTTAGAAATGGATGATGAAAGGTTAGTATTTTCTAGCCATCCAGATACGTTGGCATTGAGGTCATTAGTGCTTATATTTCTTTTCGAATATTATTGAATAAGTATTTATAGAAATAACCTTTATATGGGTTTAATATGCGTATCAAATTTCAGCATGGTCCAGGAATATCTTCAATAGAATTGTATCACACTTGTGTAGAAATTACATTAGTTTTAACAGTGGGAAGTATTTGTGTCTGAAGATTGTTTAGGGTTTTGATAATATATATTGAAATAAGTATAGCTGTGGAGTTGACATTCATGATAATTCATATCTTTGTTTTGCCCCAACTTGGTAACTGCAAGGAATTCTGTGACGTAGGAACAACACCCTTATTTGGGGCTAATTTGTCCTTTGCAGAAAATAAACTGTGTTCAGCCAAATAGTAAAGGATGCTGTGTAAAGACTTAGAGAGAGGAAGTGCTCCCAGAACTGCTGGTTTGTTCTTGATGTCCAAACTGTAACATTCTTGATTATTTTTTTTCTCTCCTGCAAGCTGCATTGCTTGCACTGACCTTAGTCTTGAGTTTTTCATGGTTTTATATGACGCCTTTTCGTGTTTTTTTCATGTCATAGTCATATGACTGTTATATTTTGAAAGAGTTCAAGTACACTTTGAATAAAACATTCTTAATTCTTATCAAATGCTCATTATTTTGTTTTACATTATTTTGGCTTTATAGTGGTCCTTTAAAAAAATTTTAAAACTTACCCTGTGCTGTGTATTCTTCTGATACTGAGGTATTTCTTCTTGAGTCATAGATATATATGTTATAAGCCATGATTTCCCAGAAACAATAAAAACATTGTTTCAAGGAGCACCCTTAAAGTTCAAGGTAGTGTTTTCGTTTTAATGAACTAGTAGGCTACTGACATATTACCAGTAGCATCTGGTAATCAGATGTAGTGAATTCTATATAAATGAAATTGTTAGAAACACAGGTTTCTGGTGTTTCAATCTACTTTTATTAGCCTAATCTTTTCTTCCAATATTTACATTGTTATGGAAATACAGTAAAAATCTAAATATATGTGAATTACCAGTATTAATCAAAAATGTAGAGTATCCTAATTTTTATGTCAACCAGTTGTAGGTACTGGTAATCAATAAAATGCAGGAAAATTGGATTAACTATTTTGTACTTCTGATAAATTTTGTCGTGTTGACTTTCTTGGTGCTATGAATGAATAACAGAATTGCTCCGAAACAGATAGTTGCAGTGTAAATAATACAAAATAAAGGGAAGGATGAAGCAGGTATTAAGAGTAGTTAGTCTTAGGAGAACTGTGTAAATAAAATAATTGTGGAACTACATGCAGCAATGATTTTAAAATGTAAATTTTTGTCAGCTTCCATTGTCTTCCTAAAAATGATGTTTGTAATGGATCAGATATCTTTTTTTTTTTTTCCCAGTTGCATTCTGGTGGCTGATGATACTTATTTTTTGTAGATGAGAGTAGATGAAGATGCTTTACTGAATGCAAAATGCACAGCTCTCCCAAAACTTCTTCCTCCTGACTAGCAATAGCTTTGTATTCTCAATCCTCCATCATATTCTCTAGAACTAGTAGGGAAATATGTGAAAGAAGGAAGCATTCTAACAGTGTGCTGCTCTTCCACATCACCTGATCCGGGTACTAGGATGACTTACAGGAAGTTGTCTTTATGTAGAATACATTAATATTAAATCACAAGGACCACTGCCCTGCTGTGATACATGTACTGTTACTCTTGTGTTCCAGAGGTAACTAGTCAGTTCAATTTCGGTAACCTTGCCACTGGTAGCTCTTTAGAAAACATTTAATGAAACACTAATTTACTAGTTTGTTAATTCTCTGTTGTTCTCTATTGTAGCTACTTTTATTACAGGATCTATCCAAATTTAAACCAACTTTGGTATCACTATGGTGTACTGCCTGTGTTAGGTGTAGTGGCTTAGTAACTCAGAATATCCTAGTTAAAAATCAGTAAGATGCAGTATGAAACATGTTTCAAATGGTATATAAACTGGCTCACAGACCTAGAAGTTAGTTTCTCTATGAGTTCTGTCAAATAGGAATATTATTAATGCTGCTTCATGTTGTGATTTTTTTCCATGATCTAGAAATAAATGTAGCTACTAAGAATTTCTGAGCAACACCGTGGTAGAAGGGGAAACAAGTAAGAGCCAAAGGGCTGTCAGGTACCTAATTTTGCCTGCTGCTTTGCTGTGCCCAGTAACGAGACACAGCTAAATGTATTAATAGAAACCCAGTTGCACCCACTTGCAGCCATAGGTGCAGTTGAAGGTGAGAAGGGGAACCTCTAACCTGGGTGGGGAGTGCATAAGCAAGTCAACCTGAAAGCTGCCAGCCTAGTGCTGTGGAAAAAATACCTAAAATTACTTGTGAGGTATAAACAGTAAGTGGCAAGTAGGAGCTCATTTTATATAGCACTTGATGGCTGTGAGGAAGCATCACTGTATTCAGTGAGTAAAGTACAAATAAATACCACTAAGCTGATTACAGGTGGGGAAAAACGCCTTGTCTGAGGTTCTGATCTGTTGAGTTTATCATAGTGAAGTTTGGCAGGTGTCTTGCAACGCAACCTTGAATTATTTAGTGGGAGAAAGTCCTAGGTTCAAAATGTCTCTCTGTCCCAGTGGCAAAAGACATGGCGAGCAAATGGCTAAATGTTGAGACCAGAGCAATTTAAGCAGGAAACAGGGCATGTTTTTAGCTGTGAGGCTGACCAGCTGATGGAACAAATTATCAATACTTTAATGTTTTTTGGTTTTTTCCCCTTTTCATGATTTCAAATTAGCGCTGAATGCCTTTCTGGGACATATACTCCAGCCAGACAAGCTACTGAATTCAATGTAGAAATGATGTGTGAAGTGCAAAAATGTAGTATAGGTCAGATTGAATGACATGATTGATACCCTTGGCCTTAATATGTACCTTTCTAATCATATGTGCATATGGTTTTAACTGCAAGTAACTAAGATAAGTCCAGCTGTTTTCATTGAAAGTTAAGCCAGTATCTGAGCCTTCAGCAATGATTAGAGTTCCTGTCATGACTTCCTAAATGTGACTGGTCCTTCATTAATCTGATGTGATTCTTATGGGAATTGAAAAAACCACAGTGAAACATTTAAAACACGGCACATGTTAAAAGGTTTGATCTAATTATTCTTTACCTTTTTTTGTTAGATATTTTAATGAGATGTCTGCACAAGGATTAAGACCTCGCACTGTGTCCAGTCCTATCCCTTATACACCCTCACCAAGTTCTAGCAGACCTATATCACCTGGTAAATATTTAACCCAGTTTCTAAAATTATTGTATGCATCACATAGTAACATGCCCTATTAATATGTTTAGGTCGGTAGCCTTTTCAAAACTACTGTGGAGAAAACAATTGCATCATAAATGTAAGAATAGTTATGCCTTAGATGTCTTCTAGTTCAGCATGTTTTTGGATGGTTCTGTATTACACTATGAACAGATATTAAAAGTCAGTTAAGAAGCTATGACTTGAACTTTTATTTCTTTTTTCACACTCTCTTTTTCTTTCCTACTGTCTCTTCTATTTTATTTTATTTTTTTTTCCCCTCCACAGAAGTTGTGAAACAGGATGTATAGAAACAGATTTCTAGAGTTTGGTGATAAACTACTAATGAGACGGCTGTTGTGCTCTGAATCAAAACTTCTTAGAGAAGTCTAATCTTGAACTTGTTGGAAAAGAGCCCATTTCCATTTCTGTTTAGTAGAGAAATGGCTTTTGTACTTCTGCTATTTTCTGTTGTAAAGCAATAACTATAAAATTAAGAATTCCTTTTGCTAGTACTTTATATAGCAAAGGCAAACGAACGTTTTCTGAGTTTTTAGTTACTGAATGTATTTTTTAAGTCAAAGGAAGTGAATTTGTTCTACTAACACATTTATTGAATGGAAGTCAAAATTCCTCAAAATCATGCTTGCACATTCCTTAAAAGTTGTTGGCCGTGGATGTTACATGGGGATGACAAACTCACTGGTACATAACGAAGTGAATACTGCATGCCCTGCTTTCCCAAGTTCACCTTGAGAACCTGTCGGACGGAGTCCTACAGTAAGGGCACATGAGATGAGCTCTGTAGTGACACATTCTGAAAATAGGATTGAGACATATTATTACGCAGGTCTGCTAGAACATGTAAAATGTGTTTAAACTCTTTAATTTTCAGGATTGACTTCAGTTTCTCAGAAGGACTCAATAGTTTTCATCCAGGTGTTGCAGAAGAAGTAAGCATGTGTGAGAACTAGCTATGGCCTTAAGCCATATTACAGTGTTAGAGATGAATATTATGATAAGAGTTTTTCAAGAGGCTTTTGGGTTCTGAAATGAGCCAAATCACTTGACTTTGTGCTTTGCAATTTATGTCACTGAGAAAATGATACACGTTGTCTTATCCTTTTTCTGTAGCTGGGCGTATAGAAACACGGTCATGCTAACAACTGGTCAAGAGTAACTGCTGTGGATATTTGTGGTTATATGTGTGCAGCCTTCATAATGCTACAGTATTCAACTGCACATTGTATCTGCAGTCTGCACAGTGGTTGTTATTAAAAGTATGTGTAGGGAAAATTATCTGGTACTTTACAGACTTGCATCCTAGATTACCTAGAAATGCACCCAATTTGGATGCTGACGTGTCAATGCAAGGGTTCTCTGTTGGTTTGTTCCTATATGTTCCTGAAGCACATTCCTTATTCCCTGTGGACTTTACTTCCCATCAGTAGTTGATACAGTAGTGCTGCGTTCTAGTGGCAATTACATCCTACTGAAACACTGTTTGAAACAGAGCTAAAAATAGCACAACTGAAATGATCATTTCTAACAGAGTTTGCAGTTTTGGTGATGTTGGTACAGTAAATGTTCCAGGCTAGCACTTCTGCACAGGCAGCTACATTGCTCTCCTCCACATCTGATAAATATCCATAGTTGGGAAGTTTCAGACTTCAGAAAAATAGAAGCAGCAGTTTGTTAGAGAACTAATGAGATCAATAGAGAATTTTGTACAGCTGTTTGGTATATATGAATGCAGTAATGGGTGAATACAAATATTTTTTTGAGCACTTTGTCTAAAGTAATACAGTAAGACACTGTCAAAAGTATAAGCACAGAATAATACAACAGTTATATTTTGCACAAAGTAATTGTATGACTTGGCATATTTTGTTTAAGAAATTATGTGTCTGAATTTGTAGGAACATAACTTGAAACCAATTAGAAACGCCATAATTTCATATGTATAGCAGCTGGTCAGGTTTAATGGGTCATATTCTGGCTCCTGAATCCAAGCCTTTTGTGCCTACACGGCTTGAGATGCTGCTTTTGAGTACTCTTTCAGTCTGAGATTCTGTTGAGGTTTCTAGCACAGTGCATGGGACTTTGAAGAGTGTGGAAGTATTGCTACTCCTAGGCTGCTGGAGGTTGGTTACTGTAATTACCAATTAGTGTTCACTGTAGATAAATTGTTTTATGCTTTGGTTCTGCAGCTAGGCTAGATGGAGATGAGCTACCTTAGATGTATGTGCAGTACTCTGTTACTGCTTCTTTGACTGCCATGTAGACTTGCATTTATAAAACTTTGGGAGCTGGTTTATCCCAAAGCAGTCCAAAATTGTAATGTTGCAAAGGTGACTTAAAGCATATTTTTTTGCCTTTTATTATTCTGGGCTCTTGTCCTGACTTGCAACACATATTCACCTGCCCAAACATTGACTTGTTTCTGTCCTTGTGCTTACAAAAGCACTTAGATACAAAACATGTGGTGTACAGGCAATTAGATTGTATAGTCAAAAAGCAGGCTAATTTTGTTAATCTGCATTGTTTGACTACTCTAAAGTGACAGTGATTCCATTGGAGGCACTTGTAACGTGCACCAGACATCCACTGGGGATGTAGCAGAATCAAACTTAGAATTGAAGGAAGGAAGTGAAGTAGGTTTTCTTATATGACTTTATAAGTGATTTGAGGCTTTTTTTTTTTTTCTTTTCCCCCAAAGATCGTGTCTCATCAGTTGTAGGCACAAACACAGATACATGCAGTTAAGGACAAAGCTGGCTCTTGGTGCGTACTGTAGCTGCAGTGGCACTGTTTGCATTGATTTAGAGTTGAAGAAGTGTGAAAACTGTTAAATCCACTGTGGTGTTACAAAAGTTTAATGGACGTTTAGAAATTTTTCTGGTCCTAATTCTCCAAAGCAGTTGCTAATGTCTAATACTAAACAGCGGAGAAAAGTCTTCTCTCCTACCTTAGTGATATTTTTGTCAGAAAGTGAAAATGAGCTAAAGATTTTGGAAAATGTCCAGTTTTGAGAAATACTCAATGTTCAAAACACTTCAAGGTCTGAACTTTCAGCACTTACTAGTTGCTGTTTCTGCTTACCTTGGTTAGCTCTACAGGTACTCTGCCTTTTTATAAACTAGATCTTACAGAAAGGAAATATTTAGGTGGAATAATTAGATATTTGCTTTTTTTAATATTAGGCTTTCCTTAATGTGGATAAAAAAAGTTGTAATTTTAAATGTTAGTTGCTAGCCTAGTCCTGCTAGCAACTAATCCCAGAAGGTTTTAACTTCACAGCCCCCAAAGATCTATAAATGTTGAGGCAAACAGGAGGAAGACTTAGTGTGGATCTGGTATGCCTTGGAGAAGCCATCTACATCCAGTTTCTTTGTCCCTCGTAGGGAAGGACCCAGTGCTAGATGGCTTCTCCAGGCACAACCTCTCTGCTTCTTCAGACTGTATTTTATTCAGGGAACCATTCCCTCTGAGGAGAAATAGAAAGCTGGATAGAAACAATTGCAGGCTAGAACCAAGCTGTCAGGAGGGCCTTACACTACTTATGTTAAGTGAAAAGGTATATTTAACACTGTATAATGTATATTTTGAAACCTATGGTGGTTTACTACAAGAACAGAAATTAATTTTACATCACGCTTTTCGGTACAATAAGTATTTTTAGGTGTCTAATCTGGCAGCAGGTACCATTTCTTAACCTATCGATTCAGAAGTAAAAAAGTTTGAAAAACCTCACTCTTTAGTTTGTAATATGAACAAAATGTTGATGTTACTTTGTTTTAATGATTTTTAGGTCTGTCATATGCAAGTCATACAGTTGGTTTCACACCACCAACTTCACTGACTAGAGCTGGAATGTCTTACTACAACTCCCCAGGCCTTCATGTGCAACATATGGGACCATCCCATGGTATTACAGTAAGTATTTAAAATAGTAAATACTTGTTACTAATGTCAGGTTGGCTTTTAAAAGTTATAATTGCTTGTCCTTAAGCTTTTTTACAAAACATTTTTGTAAATGTTTGTTTTTGTCTCCTTACTCCAAGATATCTATTGCTGCTTTCTTCAACCCTGATTTTCCTCTTCACCCCTCAGAAACTGATTCTTTTTGGAGAACCTTATTTTCTGCAAAAGAATAGGATGTATTATCATCTTAAGGACAGTAATAGGTATCACCTTATCGATCAGGAGGCAGGGTGTGAGAAGTGATGTTCTAAGCTACTAAGCCTGTCCCAGGAAGTAAAAACATTGCTTTCATTTTTCTCCTAGTCTCCACCATCTGACGGATGAGTCATCTGAGGTTGCTCCAAGCTCAGGTTTTCTTCAGGATGACACACAATGCTACCACCATGTCACTGTAACAGGCAGTTAACTCTTATTTTCTATTCTCATTGGCAAAGAAGAAAGTTAATATAAACATTTGTTAGGACAATTTCTCATATATCAAGTGGATTTATTTCCTTTTTATCTCTGATATTTGATGCACTTCTACTTAATTGTGTTTCTTCTAAATATTTGTGGAGTTTAATGAGCAAGCATCCTAAATATTAACCATTTGGCAAAATACCTTACAGTTGTTGTATCAAGACCACTTTGATTTTTCTCAACAGGTATGGTAGTATATAAATATCCTGCAAGGTTGTTGCATATACTTGTCATTCTCAGATGTGAAAGCATGTTTCAATAGAATTTTTAGTAGAATGCTAAAATATGGCTGCTTCTAAAATCATTTAGGTGAGTGTGCAAAGGTAATGGTTAATTTCTTTGAGCAAAGCGAGTGGGGGCGCCACAATAGCGAGTAGAACCAGAGGGAAGCTGGAGCTCAGCAGGAAGGTAGAGTCCTGCTCTGGGTTCAGCCTACTGCTGTGTGTCACATGGGTTAGTCACAGGAGGATCTTCATGTTTCTGGAAAACCTGGAACCTAATTTTATAAATAAGTTTTTCAAGGAACTTGTTCTGTTCAGTCTCTGTGAAATACTCTTTCTGAAACTGTGAATTATTTGGTATCACACTGAGTCACTATGAAAAAGATCATCTGCAGGACAAAATACTAATTGTTTTGAGAAAGGTGTTGATAAGTAGCTCTTGGCTTTGTCTTGATGCTGAAATGAGGTTCCTTCATATTATTAGATGTATGCAAATGCAATAAATGATTTTAGGTGTTTCAGAGACAGTCGATTGTCAAGAATCCCTTGGCTTTTTGCATAGAGCATTAATCAATTGTACATAGTTGTGCAGAAAAATAGATACAATATACATTATTTGACTAAACTGCAGTTTGATTCTTGACTCTTCATTTTTGATCTCCTTTACAGAATAAATTGACTTTACCTGTAGTACATTTGGTGTAGCACTGTAATCATGCTTCTCCTCAGAATTGATCACCTTTATTAATTGTGGGTGGGTGGTTTGTCATGCTATGAGGTTCTTGATTAATGCTAACTGGATTGGTAAGTAATGAGGATTTTGGCTTCAAAAGTGCAGAAATTAGTATTGTGCAGTGTAATTTATATTTTTACATTGCTAACATTAATCAAGATTCCTGCCCCTCACGCCCCCCTACTGGTTTGTAAAGATAAAGTGGGTTTTAAATCTTTGTGTTTAAACATGCAGGTTGTTGCAAATCTGTGGTTTCTGTTGAGGGGAGCTCTCTTACCAACTGCTTCTCTCCTGCAGCTCAAAGGGTTGTAACCTTTTTTGTTCTCCAAAGAACAACTTGTGTTACGCTTTGGTCTTGCTCCACTGTGCAGGCTGAGAGTCTTTCAGAAAGCTAGAGGTTCTGGGCAGACTCTCTGGCATTCAGAGCATTCCCACCCACACTCAGGTACCACATAGTTGGACTTCGTACCCCAGCAGTGTTAAAATTCGTACACACGTACCGGTTGGGCAGACACAACTGGGAAGTGCTGCCTCTGCAGCGTCTCTCATTTCTTTTTAGGTCGCTGGTCATCATAGGTAAACGTATCTTCAAGACATAGTCTTGTGTTTGCTTCCTGCAAGCTGTCAGGAAGGAATGTGTGTTCTGTTTGATCTCAGAAGTACTTCCCCTTTCCTTTGCTGCTTCATTTCAGAGTGATGTTTATTTTACGTAGAAGTTGTATTGTGATTTTGCAATGTTTTGAAAAAGATTCTTTTCACATAATTGTTCGGATTTTTTATGGTTTGTGGTTTTTGGTTCTTTGTTTTTTCCTTTGCCAAGCTCAGTACATTGATTAGAGGACTTGCACCTAAAGTTGTCGAGGAATGCGTTAAACATAATTTCAATATTTGTTCTGCAGAGGCCTTCACCACGAAGAAGTAACAGCCCCGACAAATTTAAACGTCCCACTCCTCCTCCTTCTCCAAACACGCAGACCCCAGTGCAGCCACCTCCGCCACCACCTCCACCACCTGTGCAACCTACGGTCCAATCCGCAGCGTCGCAGTCAGCCACTTTTCAGCATTCAGTGCATCCCTCCTCTCAGCCTTAGTGCATGTGCTCAGCAGTCTGTATGTCAGAAGTGGACTCATAACATGGAGCAGTTTACTAAAAGCCAAAGGCTTACTTGGCATATTTGGATTTGACTTATTTGCACTGAGGTTATATAGGCTTCACTGTTAATTGTGTTGTAAACGTTTGTATAAAATGCAGCCAGTGTTGTGGGTCTACAACACTAACTTAACAAAGTTTTCCATCAGTGTTTACTTGAACTACATGTATGTCCATTCTCTGGCTGGAACATTTGCTACTCTGTTTGGTAATACGGCATTATGTCGTTTTGCTTGGCTCCAAAGCTTCGTTTTCCTGGCTTTTAGGTTTGTAAAATTAAAGGGATACCTTTTTATATTTTTTCATGACAATTTGCAGAAAATTAAAGGCATGATGGGTTATATGATAAATTCTGAACTATTACAGTGTTTACCAAGCTTATGGAAAATCAGCACTACGTTTCAGTCATTTGAAATAACAGCTTCTAGTGCAAAAGTGAGTCAGACACCCTAATCAGTGCCCCAGACACATACTCAGTTGTATTATGTAGTAAATAAGCTTAATTCAGCACACAGGACACATCCATACTTCTCCTGGTTAAAAGCACCTCAAACGTATGGTACAGTCGGAATTTTACAGTGAGGGAACTGGCTTGTTTGGAGTCTGTGGAATGTACAATTCGTGGACCTTAAGATTTGATGATTTCACTTGACATTTAGGTTAACCTGTAAGCTGCCCATACTGTGTGACCTGTCACAATGACCCTCGGTAAGTGTGGTCCTGCCCGCAGGTTACTGACAGCTGATGACAGCGCGCTCTTTGGTTTTTTTGCTGCAGAAGGCAACGTGATTGTAGAGAACAGCTGATGATATTTTTTTTTTCTTGTTGAAATATATTAATTGTGATTCCCCTGAAGCAAAGTTTGAACAGGTATTCTAAATGTTCAGAAGTCTGTTAGAAAATAAGATACCAGATGAAGATACAGGACTATATTGGCGTAACAGCCAAAATGTTGTATTGCTTGGTAGAAACAGAGTACAAGAAAGTAGCACAATGTGGCACTAATGAATGCTTATTTAGCAGCCTAAGCCGGTACAATGTATAAAGAAATGTATTCTGAATACATTCTTTCCATTCATTTAGCACAAATAAATTGGTTTCACTTTGCAGTGGAACAAAGTGTCACTTCTTGATATTGACATGTTACTCAGTTACGTTTTTCTTGAGGTTCTTGTTGAGTACTGAGGTTTATATATTATTGATGATTTTAAGTGGTTTACCTCATATATATGGAGATGTGGGCCATGGAAAATGACAAGAGAATGTTTATTTTATGAGAATATGTATCTGGCTGTAATCAGAGCAGAACGTGAGTAATTTATCTTTTGTTTACAAAAGTTTGTTTGACATGCCTAATGCTTTATTAAGGACATTTTTAAGAGGAAGTACAGCATTCTGGTAGTATACTAACACTTGTACATATGTTTTCATGTTTGCCGCTCACCTATTCAGTAAGAATTGCAAACTGAAAAGTCTTTATAAAATTAGTGCTCTAAATCAAACTAGTAAGTTAAAATAATGTTGTAAAAGGTTCCGCTTAAGGCAAAACTAGAGTTTTTTCATTGTAGCTATGTAGTCTCAGCTCGGAGAGAATTTAGAGAATTGCGTATATAGTCTATTACACTTAAACCAATACGGGATCAAGTGCATTATCAAATTACAGTAGTTATGGTAGTGACTCTTCAATCAAGTGATTCTCAAGATTATGGCAGACCTAAAATTTGACCAGTGCTTCCATCTGAAAATAATTCACCACAGCAGATGCTCACCTTTCCATAGAGAAAACTCAGCTGTGAGCGTTGTAATGAAGCAGAGCTCCTGAATCAGTTGTAGGATTGCATGTGTGAAAATTACAGGCAGGCAGAGGTGGGACTGAGGTGAAGATAGGATTGGTTTAGTTTGATGCTTGTCCTTTTGTAAACATAAGACAAAGAGAAAAAAATACTCTCTTATAAGTAGGATTCCAGCTCAAGTATACCACTATTTTAAATGGTGGCCTCCTTTCTGAAGTGCTTTGAGATTCTTGAACGTGTGGCTCTATAGTGTGAGCTCATAGTGGTGGTAGTATAAATGTGAGGGGGGCGGGAGGGAATGGAAAGCCTTTGACAGTGTTGTTTTAAGATCTTAAAATGGAAAATGGCCTAGAATGATTTACTTTTGAAGCATATTCCAAAACTGAATTATGTGACCCAAGTTCAGCTGCTGTTATAAAGTGTCTTAGTGAAGTCTCCTTACTATTCTGGTGGGACTGTTACCAGAGGAAAGTAAAGAACTGACAAATGTATACTAAATCCTGAAAGTGTAACAAGGCACTAAGTCAGCCTTACCTAACTAAGAAGGTCGAACAAACATTTGCTTGCAATCAGACATGTTAAACTCCATTTGTAGACTTTTTGAATAAGATGAGGAATTGTGCACAACCATCTCCTAATAAATATGAATGGATTTTCAGTTTTACTGGTGAATTATAGTCATGAATTATGATTTCGAAGCTGTGATTTTATCAGATCTTCTATGGACTGGAGAAACTCACTTGACAGTGAGGTCCAGCTTACCCTGAGGGCTTCAGTGCTTGGCTTCTTTATCTCAGAAGCACGTGGGTGGGTTTCTGCTGTGCTTTTCATTATAGTACACTGCATATCATCATAACAGCAATTTTTAGCTGTGATGAGCATTTTATGAGTGTACCGGTTTATAGCTAAAAGGTTGTTTGTGGTTGTTTTTTTTTTTCCAAAAAGTAAAAATCTTTTAGCTGTTTGAGCAGTGCTTTCCTCTCTGACAATCAGCAGCTTTCTTTTTACTTTTTCTCTCAAGGGATCTGGCTTGGACACTGGAATGCAGCTGAGACTCTGTAGAGCATTAAGAGTTTATTTTATCCACGATTTGTTCCAGAGAAGTTCTTTGGAAGAAGAGGTGGGACTGTTCGGAGATAGTCTTCCAGCTAACAGCCAGATAAGATTATTTTAATTACATGTACTATTCTGAGAGCGTATTCCCAAGGGCAGAAAGTACTATCAGAGTTTTTCAAGAAAGTGTCAGTGTTTGTAATTGGCAATTGCTGAACTGGAGCTGAACATAACAGGATTCCTCTCCTATTACAGAGTTTGTGTTCAGGAATCCACCTGCCTGGGTGGAGTCCCTGTGCACTTCAGCTGAATGAAAAATGCAGTCTTGGAAGCAGTGAAAATGAGAAGGCTTCCTGGGATCTGAGCAAGTTGTGCTGCTGACAGGAGGCAATTTAGAATGTATGTTTTGTTAAATAAATGGAAACTGATCAGGGAGACAAGAAAAAGATTCTTGAATACTTTGTCAATCAAAGAACAGAGTCGCTCATCCTCAGTATTGATTATTTCATACTAAGAGGATGCATCCTGGGACCTTGTTTAAGACTCGTAGTGCTTTTTCTAATCCTAATGCTTAGCTTTACAAGTAGTATGAATTCTAATACTCTTCAACTTTTTGATGTTTCCCTTTTGTTTCAGTCATGGCAGTCTATTTCTTTTTGATCCTTGGGAGTCTACAGAGCATGGACTATGCAGAGCATATTTCTCCAGTTCAAGCCATCTCATAAGAAACCACAAGGTTTATGAGTGTAAGCTATAAAATTGTAATATGTGCATATGTTACAACAGCGTCCTTGAGGGAAAAGATCTGATAGAGAACAGAGCCCCTGAGTACCAGCTGAACTGTATGCATAGAGACAATCTGGTTTCCTCAGTTCCCTGAGAAGCTGAATGCCTCTCCCAGCCCCATTCGGACTAGTGTTCTTTTTTTTAAATTCCACATCTCATTGCAATAAAATACTCAGGATATCCTTCATGTTCCTTTTGGCTAATAACCACTAGTCCCCATACAAATAGAGGTTAAGAGTCATTGCCACTTTGTGGACCAGAGGAAGTCACTGAATATGCCAGATCGTGGCCTTTACAATGCAGTCCTAGTTCAAGTGGGAGTGTGTGCTCATATCATGATTTATTTCTTTTTTTAAAGCAGCTGCTGCTGGTTTTGCATTAATAGTGTGCCCTGAAAAGGAGAGAAAACTATGGTCTTTGGCACTGCCTTAACAGACAGCTGCTACATTAGGGAGAATAGTGCTTGTTCCTCTTCAACTCATTAGGCTCCAAAGAAAAGGACTACCTCATCTTCAGGTTGGGTTGATACGGCTGCAGGGTCAGGAGAAATGTCATAGCTGTGCTAGGTTTTGTTCTGCATGTATTACCTGGATAGGAGTCTTTCCTCACTGGAACTGGGCTCCAGAGGTTGTAAAGCTTTTGTCGAGGAGAAGTGAGGAGGCAGGGCAGATGGTTGAGGGTTGAGTTTGAGAAAACTGTGTGTCCCTGTAGTAAATTGCTGCTCAGAGTACTCTTTGGCTAGGCCTGGGAATTGCCTGTACTAAAACTACATTATTTTTTTTTTTTCTGTGTGGTTTCCTTTCAAAAAGTGCTATGTTGCAGTTCTTAAGTTCCTGGCATTGGGTATCTAATTTAAAAAAAAAAAAAAAAAGAGAAACAAAAAAGCAATTCCCCTTTCCAGAGAAATATTGGAAGTAGTCTTCTACGTGCAAAGGTGGGTTTTCTCATGATATAAATTAATACTGTATCTATAAGCAAAGGTGTTTTATTCTAGTGGTAAAACCTAAGCTGTCCAAGGCACTTTAGTTTGTGATTGCTGACTTTTGTTTTGGCAGGTGTTTCAGATGAAATCTAAGCCTCCTGTGGAGGAAGAAAAAAAAAATCACCTGACAGCTGTAGACTGTTCCTTTCCTGCAGAAATACAGCAATTTCCTCAAATGCAAGTAAAAATGGAACAAGCATCCTTGAGCTTTTCTGAAGCTTATATTTAATTTCAGTACCTTGGTGATTGCTCTTGTGTATTTAGAGAATCTATGAAGCCTCGTTATAGGTTGGTTGGGTGTCTAGCTGGTTATTCCTATGTTTTCCTGATCCTAGTGAAGGAAGGCTGTTCAAATTTGGATCAAGTTTATAAATCCACTGGTTAACAACAATGGTCAAAGTGCAGGTTTGTTGAGCATGAATCCAAGTGGTGACTTCAAAAGCATTACACTGTGTTGGTGTGAATTGGAGCTTATCGTTAAAAGAACCTTGATACAAAGAAGGTTGTTTGGTTTTTTTTTAGCAGGTTATATTTTATTCTGTATTAGCTGTATTATTGCTTTGTTGTATATCTCAAGGTGTTTACATATATTTGTAATTGTTACGATGTGTCTGTAATCAAGCTCATCTGTGCCTTCATGCAGACTTCCAATAAACACTTGATTTTTTTTGTATTTACCTTGTATGGAAGAGTATGGGGTGGATGTCTGTTTTCTATCTGTCAGCCTGCCATCACTGGGAAAAAGAGGAAGAAAATGAGAAACAGGAATCAGAGAAAGATATGTGCTTGTCTTTATTTTTGCTGTCTTTGATTTTAAGTGCTCTATTTCTGGTATTTTCACTTAAATGACTGAGTGGGGAATCTGGGGTTTATCCTATTTGCATAATAAAGTTTGCATAGGAGATGCTCCTCGCTTTGGATTAGGTGAATATTCTTTTGCTTCTATCTTGGAAGAATGTTGCTGTGTTTCTTGAGCTGTTATTGTGAGAAAATTCCTGAGTACCTTTCTTCCCCTGTATTAAACATGTATGCTTAAGCTTTTACAGCTGCCTTCTAGTCAGAGTGTGGGCTTGCTTTGCCACAGCAAGAACTGCAGCATCTTTTGATCTTAGTAGGCCTGCATACCTTGAGAGGGTACTTTCTGATGATTGGGGGGTAGGACATCAACAGTGTTTTGTCTGTCTTTCTGGTTTTTCTAAGCTCGTAGGGCCAGAGATGTGTATTTGTACAAAGTCATAGGAAAATTCACCTTCTGTGCTTTGAGTCGAAGGCAGTGTAGAGCTGCTTTTCTAATCTGATATTAAGTACGTGAGGAAGAGAAGGGGAAAAAAATATGTTTCCTTGAGTACTGTATTTTTTGTAGTTTGGAAAAGAGTGCTTTTGCTATTTCTTTGTAGTAGTAAAGGGTATGGTGTCTAATGATCTACTTTAGCTTCCCTTCATTTTCTTGTAATCAAACCTGATAACAGTTAAGTAGTTCTACTATTGGTGGATTCAGTAATTTTTCTAATGGAAATTTGTCTTAAGAATCCACTGTGATTTCTACTGTTTTGTCATCTTGCTAAAACAGTTGATTATTATATTTAATACTATTAAAGCATTAGCCAATTTGAATTTATGGATATATTTTTTTAATTGTAGTGAGTACTTTCTTGATACTGGGACATCATATTAACTATCTTTGGACAGAAACAGAGGAGAAGAGCAGGCATAGTGTACTATAACTGTGGTGTTATAGCTTAATTGTAAACTTTACAGTTGAATTGTAAATGTTAGAGGTCTAAAGACAATGGTATGCATGTATGAAAATTCTGTGTGTACGTTGTTGTGTCATTCCTTGTGAAATCTTTTTGTCACCTCTTTGTTGTATCAGTTCATTCATCAACTTAGCACAGAGCTCACCTGTGTGACACACACAATAGCTTCTGTAAGTACTATTTGCTGTATTGCCAACTTTCTGGGGTTAGATCTTAAACCCTAAGTAGCCCTTATCTGTGCTTATCCCATATTCAGTGTCTGAGTCTTGCTAAACTCGTTGGTTGAATCCACTTGTCTCTGTCTTGTTCAGCTGCCACTCCAGCGTATCTCTGCGGCTGCATGCTCTGCTCTAGTCAGCACAGGCCTCTGCATGTGATATAAAGCATCTATTCCACTTAATCTGGGGACAGCACGACCAATAAAATCCCTGTATTGTGATGGCTGCAGGTTCTTGGGCACCAGGCCATGGAATAACTTCTGTGAATGCTAATCTAGCTGATCCATGTTACTCTCTCTTCCTAGAACGCAGGTAGTATTTCTTAAAATGTCTTTATTCTCCTCTCTCCACTCCTCCTGATGCTGAGCAATCAGCAGCTCTGCCTGTCTGCTTGTGAGTACCCTGCTGGACACTGACACAGCTGGTGGGTCTGTGAACTGGATGAATGAGCTGTGTTGATGCTGTTTGTCTTCATGCATGTCATTTGTTTTCTCTCTGATATTTGTCTGAACAAAAATGGGTTACTTGAATATTTTCAGAAGACCAGATGAAAATGGAAAGGTGATGTCTGTGACTGATTTAATTTCAGGTTGTCTTGTTTGGGTGATCTTCCCTTTAGGTGGTTCTTCTGTATTTCTTCTGGTGCTTCCATCCCTTTATAAAGGAAAGCAAGTTCCCAGCATTGCAGGAGTTAACTCAGGAATTCCCGTAAACTGCTGAGCAGGAGAAAGAATGATGCATTGCAAAGCAAGCAATTTTAATAAGCCTAATCCTTCCTGTATGTAAAGATGCTGGCTTGGATATCAGTCTGTTTCACGTGCTTTTGAGGCCATTCCATACCTCTCAAGGTATACAGTATATCCTTCAATCCAAAAAGCAAGAAGAGGTTGCAGTTAGTCCTGCATTTCCCAGGTGGAGACTGAAGGTATGTATAAAGACCATTAGTTCACTTGAGTGTAGCAAACAGTAAAGATAAATATTGGGGAGACTGAGATGGGAACCTTGCTTTTGAGCCTCAGGGCTCTTCATGAAAATCAGCTATGGCTTTTCTCTACTCCTATGGGGGGGGGAGTGCTAACCAGTGAGCTGGTGGTGATGTGTGCTGTGACAAACTCTTTTTCCTTTGGGTAATGTGGAGCAAGAGTTGGAGTATTTACAATGAAGAATGAAAACTGAAAGCTAGATATGGTCTGTGTTTGCAGAGTGGAACAAGATTAGGTCCAAATTGTTTATATTAATGAAACTACTGTACAGTATGCCCCGTATTTTTTCCTCTAAGGCTTGAACAAAATCGGGCATGTGAGTTTAATGTAAGCAGAACAGTGATCTGTGGCAGTTGTGCAACCATCTCCTTCCTAACAAAGCAGGAAATACTGATGTCTAGTGTGACTGATTTAAACTTCACAGCATGAATGTTTTCCTTTGTCATACTAGAGATGGGTTGGAGAAATTGACCCTCATAGTCCCTCATGGAACATCTGGCTGTAGGCAGCTGTGTTGAGGGATCACAGTATGGCAGAGAGCACTTTTCATAGCTTGAGATCTACTTTATAATACATTACATGGAGTTTTATTTTGCCCAGTCACAGCGTGGTATGTATTTTGGGGGCTGAACTTCAGAAGTATAACCACTCCTACCTCCTTTCCTTCTCAGGCCCTATAGTCACGCTCTGGCTTTGCTCCTGTAACTGAAGGCCCCTTCGATCCAGTGGGAAAAAGCAGTATTGCAAACTGGGCTCCTTGCCCTTCTGGATCCGAGTGCATTTTGACAGTTACTGCTGCATGAAACAGGTTGTAACTCCATAGTGAATCTTAACACTGTCTTGACTGTCAGCAGCAAAAAATAAATGGAGAAGAGGTCAGTGATGAGTACTCATCTTTCTGTCTGGAGATGGGAATTCAGAATCTGCTGTCACCTGTCTTTTTTCATGTTTCCTAAAAATCATGCTAATTTTTCTGTGCAGTTCATATAAGATTAGTACCCAGTTTTCATTGGGATATGTAGATTTGCTAATTTCATCACCAAATAAGGCAAATTGTTTTGGATCACTTGTATGTGAGTTTTTGCAGTTGTTGTGATATGAAAAGGGCTGCGTGGTTGCTTCTATTTTTTTTTTTTAATTTCTTAATTATATTAAGAATATAAGAAATTAAGAAAATATATTATATTTTATTTCTTAAAAAGAATAATTGCCCTCTAGGTATTGTTATTCCCCTTTCTGTATACCTGCCTGTACCGGGACAGTTACACCGCGCTTAGTTACCCCGGGGTAGACTGATGTCCTCAGGATCTTCTGAGTCTTTAGGTGTCTTGTGTCCCATAGGGAGAATCCAAAGCTGCAGAGAGGGCTGGGAGAGCAGTGTCAGCCTCCCCCTACCCCCATAGCCAAGTGTGGAATAAGGGGGAAAAGAGCATGCAGAAGGCACAGGCTGAGGTCACTTAGCAGCTCCTGGCTCTGCAAACAAACGTGCTGTTAGCCCACCAGGCTGGGTACTGTAAGACTTTGAGCCTCCCGGGTTTTTGGCAGCTTTCTGTCTCTTCAGAACCTGAAGCAGTAGGAATTTGCAGATAAAAGACCAGGTCAGCAGCCCTTTTACATGGGCTGGAAGTGCTGTGCAGTTCTCTGCCACAGCACAGTCTTGCCTGATGATCCTAAAATCTGGGAACAAACCGAAATGCCATGCTGGCCAAAGAAAGCACCCATTGATTTGAAAATGAGACTGGACCCAATCCCGTATGGAAAGGTATGTCTAATACAGGTTTGTGACACTGAGAAGTGACCGAAGGAGGATGTTAGAACATTGTGCTGCCATGATGAGCAGAAGGAGAATAGGTGGACCTGTTTGAAAGGGAAGAGTGGTATTTGAGGCTAATAAGGGGGTAGAGAGAAAATGGGAGAAGTATTCGAATATCTTTTGACTAGCCCTTTGCTCTCTGCGTGGCTCGGACTCCAAAACAGCTCTCTACTGGCTGTGAACAGCCCTAAGCTGAATAACAGTAAGAAGTTTGTTTCTCTTATGCAGAGGTGCTGGCACCAGAAAGTATCAAAGCAAACTCTAGTTAGATCAGAGAACTGAGAGCTGGATGAACTTTGGAGAGACGTACTTGCTGGAAAGCTAGGAGCAGTTAGGAGAGTAGAGGGCAGAGCCAGATGGAGAAGTGCAGAAATACTTACCAGTAGGGAAAGGGATGGATGGAGCCCTGTGGGAATTGCTGGGATGGATGGTTACCTCAAAGGAGTGGAAGTGGTGGTACAGGAGCCAGGACATCATTTCTGAGATGTTAAATGCTGCATATGACCCTTGGCAATGAAGCACTCTTCTGTACCTGAAATAGGTTGTAATTTACATATCAGTGTGTACTTGAGCAAATGGGGGAATAAAAGATTGGCAGTGAGTTTTGGGATTACTCTCCTGCCGTTGCATGTCTTGTAGATCTAAATCTGCCTCTTGAACTAATGTATCAATTATCTAGGCCCCAATGTAAGTATAAAAAATACATCACAGCCTTGGCAGTAGAGAAATTGAAGTTTCTAAATATGATGAAATCCACAGCTGCAGTGTTACATACTGGCAAAATCTTAATTTTCACAGAAACCATAGCTAGAAATGAGTTTCTGTGGATGGGTGATTAAAATGATTAAAGCTTTTAAACTTAATATACTCTTGTGTTGCTTTTTGCTTGTCAGGACATATTTCTGTATAATTTTGAAG